CGGCAGCTGCGGGCACTGACCAACCAGATAGAAGAGGTGGGCCGGCCCGCCGGGGAAGGAAGGAAGCTGTGCGGGAATTGGCGAGAATCGACGTGCCCGGGGAGCCCGCCGGCCAATGCCGAGAGAAACCGTTATTCTCGCCCCGCCCGCTCTCTCTAAGTGATTCCTGGGATTGACGGCGCCGAGCTGCGGCGCGCCCTCCATTCCGACCCGTCCCCGCTCCCTCCCCCGCCAATGCCCGCCCCACTTCAGCGGCCACCAATGAGAGGCGCCGCCTGCCGCGGCGCGCGGTCAGTTTCAAACGGAAGGCCCCGCCGTGGCAGGCGGGAACGAGCGCTGCGCCCGAGCCAATGGAGACAGGGGGCGGCGGCGCCCGGGAAAGCAGCCCGCCACTTAGCGGCCGCCGTGCTTCGGGTGCGTGGGCCGTGCATCCCGGCCGTGCTGCGGCGCGGTGCCTCTGCTCCACACTGCTCAGCTTGGTTGCGGTAGCTGGAGGAAACTTGCTAACGAGGGAGGAATACGGTGCTCTATTCTTTTAACGCTGAAACTAACTAACTTCGCAGTCATCAGCCAAACCGGTGGTCTCTCCATCTGTTCAACTCGCTGAATCAGAACTAAAGGGCACCGCGAGAAAACACGTGCTTTAAACACATTTCCCACCCTAACTCAGTTCAGAGGTAATCTGTTGTTAAAAAACTGGCTTTTCCTTTCCAAGAAGCCTGGAAATGAAAATGCGTGTGGAAAGAATCACAGAAGATAGCATTCCCAGAATCAAAGAATGCTCTGTGTCAGAAAGAATCCTAGTCCCAACCTTCTGCCATGACTGCTTGTCTCCATCATGCTCTATCTTGTTTACAAGCTCCCCTCAATTACTGCAAGATCTCAATAGGTCTCCCCAGGACCTTCTCCAAGCTGAACAAACACAGCTCCCTCAACCTTTCTTCATAGGAGAAGTGCTCCAACCCTCTTACAATCTCTGTGGCCCTCTGGACCCACTCCAACAGCTAACTAAACATCTAACTAAATTGCCCCCAGAACAGCAATGTTTGAGAAAGCCCCTCTTGGTTAGGATGTCAGCTGTTCAGTAGTCTGTCATCACCAGATTCAGAGCACAGAATTCATGTTTTGTGCTGCTGGAGCAGCTTTGCCACATGCATTTTCTGCTGGGGCCTCTCCTACCTGACAACTGTAAAAATTGTAGAGGTTGTTTACAACTTACCTCAGTTAGCAGTAGGACTAACAATGCTGTGTAAAGGTCTGTCAGTCATGATATCTTACTCAGAACACCAGGAGCAACCTATCTGCAAATGAATGGGCAGTATTTACAGAGACTAGTGGTTTGTCATTGTCTTATAAAAAGAGTTAATCATAAGAATAATTTGTTTCAAACTGGATTCACTGTTTTTGAAAATAATAGTAAAAATAAACATTGCACGTTGTTATATGACAATGGCGTTGAATAACTCTAACTGTAAAACGTTTTTATCCATATATTTAGCGTACAATGAAGAAAGTTGTTTTTGTTTTTGTTTTTTTTTACAATATTTACAAACAAAAAGCATCCTCCTAGTCTGTTGAAAATGGTCTCTAACAGAGGAACAACGACAGCATTAGCTCATCCATGCAGGATAAGCCATTGTAGCACTCTGTAATCACATAAATGTCCTATAAATTCACTGAGATACAGCCAGCCTTCGGTTCTGCTTTTGGTGTCAGCAAGTATGCTGGTCCCCACGACACGGGAGTCAGGAATTAAGTTAAATGTCTTCAAGATTTCTTATCTTCCGCTGCACGCTCCAAAGTGCAGCATGAGAGCTCTTGGCTGTTGAACTGCAGCATTACAATTGGCAGAAGGAGACAACTGATTGGAAGGAAATTACATGTACTTGTCCACTAGTGAATTTCTCTTCATGTGTTTGTTTTTTGCTTTTTGTTGTTTTTTTTTTTTTTCCCCTTCTTTCAACCCTCTTAATAAACAAATAACTTCTAAGACTGAAATTATAAAAAGTCTAACCTGTGGAACCAGAGCACAGGAGTTTATTGTCTCCGATATTTCCAGGTGTGTCTGTTTGGTTCCTTCTCTAGTGTGTTTTAGAAAATAGTAATTAAAATCAAGGCATAAAGTATCAAAATCAATAAAAGACATCATAGAAGTGTAGTCCTGGTTTGGAGCTCACCATCTAATCCATTCCTGTATCTGGAGAGGGATCTGATCCACCTGCAGTGTTCATCACAACTGCTTTTGTAAACTGTTCATAAACATATTCTGTGAAAGCCCATTCTGTGAAAGCCCTTTCTTAGCAGCTCCATCACTTGTCATATTGTATAATTAAGATTTTTTTTGCTTGTTTTCAACAGGTTTTCATTTTCCTCATTAAGCCAAGTGTTTCTTGCTTAGTCTTTTCAGGCAGTAAAAAAAATTGACTCTGTCCTTAATATTCTTTCATTTACATCACTCACTGGCTCCATCTCATCATTTAATTAGTAAATTAAACAATGCCCATTCTTCAAAGTCTTTCTCAGATCTTGTATTCTGTAAATCTACCATTGCTACCATTTTTTCCCCTGGAGTTCTTTTCCCTCTGATGCTGCTGTGCCTAAAATTAGACACAGTGACCTCAAACTATGACTTCAGCACTGCTAAACAGAGCGGAATAATTACCTCCTGTGAGATGCACATAATACTCCTGTTAATATTTTTCAGAATTAAATTTGTCTAGTTTTGCTTTTTCTGGATCTTCATTTCTGATCCCTAGTTCACAATGCACAGTAACTACAGAAACGCCTTTTGTACAAGATCCTTTTGTGTGTGGCTGGCAGGCTGCTGGCAAGTCATCAGCAGGCTGAAGGTGTCCCTGTAGTAGAGATCCCACTGTGACCAGAGCATCCGTAAGTTCTGGAAAGCATTTTTTAGCAGACATTAGATTTTCTCTGGGACACCTTTGCCACATTGAGCAAAGGTTTCTCTTTCTGTCCTCTAACAGTCATCTCTGTTACTTAACACTCTCACTAAATTTTTAGTTAAATACTTCAACAGGGCTGGTTTTGTCAGCCTTTCTTGTTACCCTCTATTGCTATTGCAATGAAGGGTTTAGAAACTTAACTTCTAGGGGATACTTAAAGAAACAATTGGTGGTAAACATCTGCTCAAAATTCCTCAGTGATTAGAAAAGTTACTATAAAGCCCCATCTGGGCAGGAAGCAACAGTTACTACAGCATCAGTAATGACTAATAGCAGGCTTGCTGCTATTGTGCTTGTCTGCAGACACCAACTCAGCTCTGACTTTGCAACATCACCACCCTAATACTGCAGCCAACTCTGGTCACTGAGTTACAGAAGAAATCATGAATTAGGAAAGTACAAAGAGAACTCACTAGGAAAAACATGAGGCATACAAACAGACAGACAAACTAAATCTGATGGAAAGTGTAGCTGTTGAATAACCTTCTGTGAGTGGCTGATAGTGGAGTTCAAGAGAGATATAAGAATCCTCCTTATGGGCACTACTGCTATGCCCTCCCAGCCTCATTCTCTTGACTTGTGAAATCAAAGAAGAAGGAAAATTTGCCATTTGAGGAAGAAGGAAATAGATTCTCTAGCTTAGAGAAGTGACATCTGAGCAGGCACGTGATGATTCAGGAATATAAGACTCAAGCTGTAAGCATAAAGTGCATGGAGAATGATAATAAACTATGTTGTATAACAAAAAATTTTAGAAATTTAGATTTAAAACAATCTAAATGCAAACCTTTTCTTTGTTTCTTTCTTTGCCGAGGTAAACTTCTATGCTTAAAACCTTTATTTGCATAACAAGGCCCATGCTAAAGTTAAGTTACCTAGGCAACTCCTTATCAAAGATTGTTGCAGATGCCAAGAGGATAAAAGGATCAAAAACATGAATTAAAGTACAAAAAACATGCTCAGATTTTTTTTTCTATAAGCCACAGACTGCTGGCAGGTGAGAGTTTTCTGTTCTGCCTCATTGCTCTTAGCTGCACAAGTGAACCAAAGCAAGCTGATCCCCACATCTAGCAAGGTGCAGCTATATTTGAAACCTCCACGTCACAGTTGCTATAATCTCACCAGTGTCTATCTGCCTGTGTACTTTTAAGGACAGATTGTACACACATGCTGTGTGGGTCACAGCTGGAAGAGGTGATCTCTGCTGCTCCCACATAGCCAAGTAGAATTGACTGTTTGCCCCTCCAGCTGCCTGCAGGGGCTCAGATGTGGCTTTACCATGGCCTTTGAATAAGGATGGGGTTGTAACTTTGCTTTCCTAGAAGCAGAGAAGAGAATCTGTAATTTGGTTTCTTTCCCGTGCCTTAGCGTTGGTTTTATTGCTGTTGGTGATAAATGTTGCTTTGCTTTTCATGCTGGAAGGAGAAGGCACCCCAGAGACTGCTCAGGAGATTGTAATCCAGAGGATGTCACAACACAACCACTTTGCTGTTTTACTCACCCTATGATCAGTTCCAGCTATTCTCATTAACTCTTTTTTAAAATTTTTAGATTACTATCTGATCATGAAAATCTAGATGAAGGACCATGTCAAAGTGAATGGACCCTTAATAGTCCAGTAGGTATTGTTAAGATGTATCAATCAGTCAGATCATAATCTGACCTTTGGCATTGGGTTACGTTAATATGTATGTATCCAAAGGTTTTGTCTTTTTTTCCCCCCATCTCGTAGTGTGCTGGGCATTTGCTTCACAGAGGGTAAACAAGTACCTGCACCTGGAGATTAAATTGTTTATGCTGTGGATTGGCATTACAAACTTAGCAACCAAAGTGCAGGAACTAATCTGAAAGGTATGCAGAAGACCACACTAACACAGAGGCTTAGAGACACTGCCAGTGAGAGGCTAGCAACCATTACTATAGCAAACCATTAGCAAATACTCAAGCTGACCGACTGTTATGTGGCCATCACAACCTGCAGCACAAAAACACATTGAGAGAAATAGCAACAAGATCTGTGTCTTTGTTATGGTGGCACACATCTATATGAATTTTTACCTGACAGTGAAATTGAAACATTTATTTTCTTCTCTCATTTCTCACAGTCTTGGATTTTGAGTTTTATTGTTGGTGGTTTGTTTTGTTTCATTTATTATTTGTTTGGTTTTTATTTTGCTAATAAAATTCTTCTATGAAGATTTAGAGTGGAGTGGAAGAAAGGAGTACTGAGAACTTACCTGCATTTGCTTAGCTATTTAATATGCTCATGCCTGCCTGCTCTTTCAGAAGACTACTACAATGACAGATCCTTCAGTGGTGGATTGTGTGGCCCAGCTAAAATTCAAACTCCTAGAAAAGGTAAGTTAATAATTCTACAGTGGTCACCTTTGCTCTGCTTTTTTTACTACAGGCATTTAAGTATAAACACTGTGTCTTAATCATATTTTTACTGTGAAACAAAAAGGACCTGCAGCTGAGAACCTTGTTCATCATGCAAGCTGAGGCAGAGCAAGTTGCATTTGTAGAAATGATTGTTTAATATACAATTAAAATTTAAAATACGGCTTTCCAAAGTGGAGTAGTTTGTCTTAGATGTGGCAATAATTTGAGGACAAAGCTTTCACTAGTAGGGAAGTAGGTAGAACTCAGGAGCCAAAAGTGTGCTTGTGCTAAGGAAAAGCTCTTCAGTTCATAGATCAGGTGGGCACAAAGTCCATCTGGTCCCTAAAGATCAGAAAGTTGAACATAACAGCATGACTGTTTGGGAAAGAGACTGGCCCAAGCAGGGCAGAGCCAGAGAGGGTGGCTGGGTTCAACCAAATGTCCAGGTCCATCAAGCAAGCTTATAGCACCAAGGAAGGTCCAAAGCCAAGATGGAAGGCATCTGCAAGTTGGAATCAGAGTTCCTGAAACCTATGGCCAGTCATAAGCCTGGCACTGCATGAACTGGAGACCAGTATTTATTTGGTATAGCTTAGACAGGATCTGAAGACCTAGAGCTGAGATTATAAGGACACCCCAGCATGTGGGCAGAAGATGTGAATGGATGTTCCAGGTGAGGCTGGTTTAAGACTCCTAGTGCACTGAATACCCAGAACTCTGGAATCAAGCTCTCCATATGTTCTAGCTCTCTACCCTACAAAGTAAGTGATGCATAAGTCTCCTGATTCACTGTGCTATCAGTTCCCATATCTGAGATGGCCAGACCAGCTGGAAGCATGATTACTCTTTTGCTGAGAGTAAATTTATAGTGAGACTGTAGCAGAAATGCTACATCATGGCTTGAAACAGTAATCAAGCACCTGGTTGCAAGGTAGGGCCAGCCCAGGGTAGCTCAGGTGCATGCAATATGCCTGAGTGGCCAGAAGGGGAAGAGCCAGGAGCCACCCATTCCCACACCTCATTAAAGGGTTGGCAGTGGAGGTGAGGGTATCTCTCTAGATATCTCCGTATACCTGAGGTCTTCTGGAGGTAGGCAGCTTTTTTTCTACCTTATTTCTCTGTCTACTGTTGTTACGTTTGAGTAAATCTTCACTTTCTGTAGCCTGGAATTTTGTTGCTTTGCTGTTATTGTTGCGTTTACCATTGTGTTTCATGAGACTGTTTGTAGTTCTGTGGGGTTTTTTTACTTCTTATGGGCCTTGCTAGCTGTGACTTAGTAGAACTGTCCCTTATTTCCACTTGTGATTTATTTTCTCTATCCCAATCCCACTTGAATTGTTGTGAGCTTTTCTGCTTAACTCACAGTTGGTTTTCTGTGTTTTTTTTCTATTAGAGATTAGAAAACGAACAGAAGAACCTAGAGAAGATGGAGTCACCTCTTCCTACAGCAAGTAAGAGAGAAGTGTTTGTTCTGGTTACGGTCTTGAAATGGAAAGGGCTTAGGGATGCTTTCAGTCATGAGTTCCTTGATAGATCACACTGGGTGATTCTATATTCTCTCTAAAAGCTAATACAGGCCTCTGGCTCTGAGTGCTTTGAGGCCAGGAGTCTTAGTAGTTGGAATTTACTCTGTCTCAGCTTCTGTGATAGGGACACTTTCTGGTGGATGAGAAGAATGATCCACAGTGAAATCAGTGCTGTCTTTGCTTGGCCCAGGCATCTAAATCTGTATGTAGCCCTGGGGATCGGAAGTTGCAAATGTAAATTTCAGTGAAGTATGAACAACAGTGATGATCTGTATATGAATCTCAGTCCTAACCAAGATGGTATATTTTAGAGGAATCTCCTAAAATATCTTCCAGAATTAATCTCATAATGTAAGTGTTATAGTAATCTTATCCTTGCAATCCTTTAAGAATATAATGTTTTTTTCCTCCTTTAGGCAACAGACGTGAGGATATGCTTCAAAGTGCCTTGAAGAAAAGGAAAAATCTCCTGCAGGAGCTTAAGGTAAAAGCAGTACTTGTCAAGCGTGACTGTGTAAAGTGTCTGGTTTAACATAATGAGCATAAGAGTAGAATTTGAAGGGTGGAATCTCATGCTATTTTAAGCAAGCACTGAGAATTTTCTGTGAGAAGTGTGGTTTTCACTAGAGAGATGAGGAGAGGCTGGTGGGAAGCTGAACAGGACTTCCTCTACATCAGCACATGAAGCCTGCACCCATGTCAGTCACCTAGTGCATTGATTCTATTTGTTGTAAGCTGCTATATCATAAATTCTCTGGATTCCAAAATGCAATCAAAGGACTTTTTAATGTTGCCAAAATAGGAACAACTATTACTTAAAATCATATATAGAGAGGATCAAGTATTAATGAAACATTTTACTAGACTTCCAGCAATTTGTTCTTCACTTTTTTCTACTCTCACTTGTACTGAAAACTGTATACCCTCAAGATATGCAGGAAGAAACACTTTGTTTTCACTTGTTACAGCTCTGACATCCCTTCATGCAGCATTCACTTGTGGTTTGCCTGTTACGCAGCAGTTTCTGCAGGTGTGTTGTAGGTAGAAAAGCTGTACTCTGCTGCAGGCTCCCAAAGGTTTGGCCTATTTAATCTGATGAATGCAATAACACTGCCAGCCTTTCTGTGACCAGATTTTCTTCAAAGAAATTACCTGATTTTGCAGGAGCAGCACCTTCTGGAGGAGCTGTCACAGCCTTCTGCACCAGCTGGGGGACAGTATAAGAACTACAGTGCTGGTCTCCCGCGCATCTACCAGATACCTTTTCCAGCATCTCGAGCTGAAACACCAAGGATTATCCAACAGGCGGTAAGGATTGTCACTCCTAGGAAACACTGGACAAAATCTGCACTGACTTCTCCATTTTCTTTTCTTATCCAGATGCCTCCTCAGCCTGCCACGATCATCCAGCAGCTCCCACAGCCACCCCCACTGATAGCACAGATCCCCACTGCCCAGCCCTTTGCACATCCTCGCTCTGGAAGCATTAAAGAAGGTACCATTCACTAGGACTAGCTGTCAGGTCCCACTACCAGGAATACCCAGAAAAGGTACCAGTTGATACTCAGAAAAGGTGCCGCTGCAAAGGGAAGAGGTCAGGGGACCTTTTCCAAGCATTCAAGTCAGTGATGTGCTCTGTCACTACCAGGACTGTGGGAATTGCACTCTGCAAAAATAGAGATCAGTTCTCAGAAGTTTTTGGACAAACTCTTCTTGCTAAAACAAAAGAAATGGTACAATAAACTTGGCAAAGCAAAGTTGAGCTGTCAGAAAACCTGAGGGAATTAAAAGCTGCTCAATCCAAGTCATTGAGTGTACCAAGGTGAAACTCATGTAAATGGATGATTCTAAAATTCACAAGTAGGCTTTTAAAATCCATTTTTTATTCTTTTTGTCCCACCTTAACCTGCTGTTCAATTTCCTTAGAGCAGTGTAGTGCTGAGTTTGGGGGGAAAAAAAGCAGAACAACTGACAGTGTTTCAAGTGTAGTGCAGTGCCAGGAACGAGAGGTTTTTTTTCTAAACATAGATGCTATTGTGAAATGATACCTGAACAAAAACTTGGGTTGACTTCCCTGGCTCATCCCTCGGTCAAAGGCTTTCTTCTATCACAAAGAAACATCCAGTTACTGAAGTGCTATGTTTCTCAACTATTTCTTAGCTTAAATGGCTGGATTTATTCATAGTAGTTTATTTTTGTAAATGAACTAGTCCAAACACATGCATGACTTTTCTGAAGTCGATACATTTAAAATATCTTCGGTATGATTAAAAAGAGTTCCTTTGCTTTTCTTCCTCTCCTCCCCCCTACTTAAAATACAATGGATGTGTACTGTGCAACTAATTATGATCCAGCGTTATGTTGAGAGTCCACTGCATGTGCATCACATCCACTTAAGGTGGCACTGCAATATTGTGTAAAGCTGAGGAAGCCTCCAATGTGGGCAACAATGATCTTGAACCAAAGCTGTGGAGCGTGCCACATGGCTCCAGTCCATGCTGGAACAAGTGAGAGTTTCAGTGCACAGCTGTTTTCCAGCCTGCCAGTGACTGCATCTACAGGGATGGGCTTGCAGTGGAGCTAAAGAGATACTCCTCAACAGCAGCTTGCTTGTGAAGGGTGGGGGAATGGGAGATCTGGTGTGGATGGTCCTATTCATAGACATTAATTTTGCACCATCTGGGCACGTAATGCTAATGTTGCCATATGTTGTTTTCAGCTACTGCGTCTCAGCTGCATTCATGAGTTTGCACCTTAGAGAGCAGTTCCCACTGAGATACCCCTGTTGCTAATAAAGCTCTTGCTTTCTTCCTTTGGATGACTTCTTCCCAGATATGGTGGAGATGATGCTGATGCAGAATGCACAGATGCATCAGATCATCATGCAGAACATGATGCTGAAGTCTCTCCCATCGATGGCGTTTGCACAGCCAGCCAGACCCAGCTACCCACTGCTTCAGCACACACAGCAGGTAGTGTTACTGTGTCCAAAGGGCATCTTTGCTCATGTGGGGCAATAGTTATCCTGGAGTATGTGAGGACTGGAAAAAAAAAAAAAATTCTGCTGCCCGTGGTTTCCTGCAGGTTTCACATAGGTCCTTACATGTTGCTAAGCAGAACTGCAACAGAAAATGTTTCCCACACCAGTGCAAACTGGATTCAGTCTGGCTCTGGAATGCATGTACTAACAGACATTGAAGAGGCCTACACTGAGCATCTGCTGCTGCACTTGGGAGCCTACCTCCTGCTGACTATTGCTGAAACATCTGGTACAGCTATCTGTAATGGTGTCCCCAGGTGTCTTCAAAACCCCAGCAATTCACCTCTAGTGAGCACGTAGCTGTATGGCTCAATTTCTGCCTGCTCACTGTGGGCAACAGGGGAATACTTGCTACAAATCCTGTAACTAGTGAAATTGGACCTGGTTGTTCAAAACCAGCTGGAGCTGAAGCTCAAATTTTTGTGGTCATACTTGATTGGCTCTAGCTATTGTCTCACTGTAAATTGGGCATGCCTAACCTGCAGTCTGGGCATGCATTCATTGCTCAGCAACAAGTGAACCATTGTTAAGCTGCTGACACAGCAGTGATAGAAACCAGGGAGAGCAGTGCTATGCAGTGTTGACTCAAGTGATGGCAAATAATTTTATGCATTTTGATACGTTGGCTAAACCCAGGGCTTGGAACAGTGAAGAGTGTGCAGCTATGCTTTGCATTTTGATAAAGGAATTAGAGAACAGGCTTTAAAAGAATTGAAGAAAAGGATTCATCTATTTACGTTTGCAACTCCATTTTCAGTCAATATGAGTACATTACCTAGAAATTGTTGGAAGGGAAGTGTAGAGCTGCAATCAAATATTCGACTGAAAAATCTCATTGTGTCTTCTTACCAAACTTTCATAATCCCTATCTTACCAGAGAGAAATATCCTTTGCTTCACAATCACAATTTGTTCATGTCATGACATGACATGATGTGCACGATTATTGTCAAGGATGGAGTACAGGAAGAGTAATAGTTCATAAAAAATCTCAGATGAGCACCTTGAGGCCTCACTAAGAATTGCAGTAATTTCCATCAAACCAGAGTGATGCATTAGTTTCACAAAAACAAGGCCAAATATCCCACTAGTTCTGCTTTTGTTGCTCTCTTTTTTTTTTTTTTTTAAAAAAAAAAAAAAAGATAGTTTAATTTTTAATATTTTTCTTAAAATATTTTGTTGCTTATATATTAACAATATTGGGTGTATTACAAAAGCTACTCTGGAAGCAGTGCCTCCTGTTTTATGATGTTGGCCTATGATGTCAGAGGTGAATGTTGGCAGTATGGGAGAAGAGACTCAGCCTTCCGCCAGTATCCTGTCACTGTTGTTACCATGTGACAGATAGCAGCAAAGTGGCACTCTGACAGAATGGTGTCTGTCATGGAAGTACATCTGACATTGAATTCCTCCATGTGCAAAAAATGGCACCCATTGACATTCATCAACACTTGCTGAAGGTTTATGGAAACCAAACACTGGATGTGAGCACAGTGAGGTGGTGGGTAGTATGCTTCAGCAGTGGCAATAGTGGGTCACCTCTGCTGGTACAGATTTCTATGAGCGCAGCACGCAGATTCTTCTTCATCACTGGAGAAAATGAATAGCTAATGATGGTGACCATGTTGAAGAAGTGTTTTATAGCTGAGAATTTGTCCTATCAAAGAGTGTTATTGTGCTCTTTGTGTCTGTTGTAATTTCTGTGGAAATAAATAGGAGGCATTACTTTTAGAGCAACGTATATGTGGCCCAAGGCAATTCCTGTTTGCTCAATGCAGCCCAGACAAGCCAAAAGGTTGGATGCCCATGCTGTCAATCGATGACTAGCAAAGTCAAGAAGGACAGGTTTTATAGATATTTGTATTGAAATCCTCCTAGGGTTTTTTCCAAAACAAACCAAGTACTTATCAAACAATAGGTAATTTTGAACATATCCTTAGCTGCACAGTTCCTAGGCTATTTTTATCAGGATGCTGTCTAGCTCCTTAGTCATCTTAAATGCTTTGGAAAAATGTATTTCTACTCTCTACTCTGAAGCATTTACTATCAAAGCAGCAAGGATTGTTCGTCTTTAAGGACTGGGGATATCTCTTGTCTTGAAAAATCTTCCCTTATACTTTTTCAGCCTCTCCGTTTTCAAGCTGACTGTGACTTTTCCAGATGTTGTAAGAGAGATTTCTATTCTTTTTCTTGGAAAACCAAGGTAGTGAGATAGTAAGAAATCAACTCCCACACTTCTGCAGTAGTTGCCCAATTCGTTCACACCTTTCTTACCTGCCATATGCAAGGGCAATAAATAGCTTAAAAGCCCCTGTGGCCCACATTAAACTGTGGGGTGAAATACAATCTTCCATAATCCATCCCTGTGACCTGTGCAACTGGGAGCTGACAGGTTTTGCACCTGTTGAGACCAAATGTCTGCCTGAGATGGAAAGCCTTTGGCAGCAGCTGCTTGCTCTCCTGCTTCAGGGTACTGACATCCTGGGGGCCAGCACCATCACAGCCAGCATGCAAGTGATAGATTTGCTATGGAAATGGAAGGCAGCTTTGGGATTTCCTCAGAAGCATCAGAACTGTGCTGAGCATCACCTCAGATGAAAGGGAGGCAGCAGAGAGACAGAGCATCCCTATAGTCTCCAGCATCCTTCCTAGGGCCACCAAAACCCCTTTGCTTATCTCCATCAAGGACCTGCAGCTCACTGCTCCTGTGGCTGTGAAAGCAGATCGTCCCTGGCTGTCTGCAGTACATCACCACCACCACTACTCTCCCCCGGGGCTGGCCCTCCGTGCCATGCCTGCTGGGCTCCCAGTGCCAGGTGAGGGACTGCCGCCTGCATCCTCAGCCCAGCATTGGACCAGCAGCGTGCTCCCAGCTATGCAGATGTAAGTTGTTGGATTGCTGTGGCATGAACTGTTCAGCCTACTGAGTAGGGGCTGCCTACTCTTTGTATTCAGGCTGACATTCCTCATGGGATTTGTATTCTTACAACACTGCTGAGATCCTCAAGTGGAGGTGAGTAGATTGCTCCTCCTAAGACTCACTTGCCTGAGCCTTCCCTGCACCTGGAATCTTGTCCTGAGCTATTTTCTAGTGCAAGTAAATGACACCACGGCCTGGTGCTGAATGAGCACATGAGCAGACCCACTGCCCAGTGACCCACAGCCTACTAATGCCAAGGTGTTGTGGCTTACCTGGATCTGAGCAAAGAGCACAGTGTTCTTGCAATCTATGTCATGAGGAGACAGCAAAAAAGGCATGGAAGCAGCAGTATTAGGAAGTTCTCACATGCTGAAGCTGGGACTTTCTTCAAAGGCACTGTGTAGAGCATGACTGGGTGGCTGGGGACTTTGGGACAAGGAATCACTGCTATTATGTCTGTGCTCCATCTTTTCCAAAGGCTTAGTGAGCAGAAGGAAAGGATAGAAACACATCTTCTGGCATGGGGAACCTACTGCCATGAGTATCTGTATGGCCCTCTTTAGCATGGGATTTGGACTCCTGAAAAGATTCTTTACTGAATGGAATTGCAGGGGCTATACATTTCTACCCCTTCCTCTTTTACATGCTTTTGTAACCTCTGCTGATAATGAGCTCTTGGCTCCTTCCAGTATCAGTGCAATGAGCTGTTGCTTAGCTGTTTGCAGAAATCAGTAAAATCATCTTGTCACAGCTTTTAAGCTGCCTTTTCCCTCTTCATCATGAATTATAAGATCCTACACATCTTTATTGTTTTTATGCAGCTGTGACAAGCGTGTGTGTTGGCTATTACCAAACACAAGGTCATTTTTCTTATTGCAGGTGGCCCACCTACTGACAGCATGTGTTCCTCTGAAGGTGGACAATTGCATCACTGAGTTCAACCTGCTTTTGAGCTGTTCCTAAATAATCTGATGGTCTGTGCATCTGCAAATCATCCATACAGTAAATGAGCATAGAAAGACTGGAGATCGACAGAACAAATGTACCACAGGCCTGTAGTCTGCTCACCCCTTTCTGCCAGTGCAGCTGCTTCCTCTCATATGCCAAACCCAGAGCAACAGCAGCACCTCTCTTTTGCCTCTTTCGAAAGAACCAAGACATCTTGTCCCAGAGAGCCTCACAGTGGCCCTGGGACGTGAAATAAATATAACACTAGTATTGTCTAAACTATTGCAAATGAGTATGGCTCACCTTCAGGACTGAGTCCTTTCATGTGTACTTTGGAGAAATGCTCCTTTGCAGCCCTCATGGGGGCTAATGCAGACTAACCCAGACTTCATGAATGGAGCTCAGTTGCCAAAGCTCATTAACCAAAGTGTTCCTCCTGTATTGGGCTTGCATGGCAAGGTTTTGGTAGCAGGAGGGCTGTAGAGTTATCTTTGAGAAGAGCCCAAGAGCATGTCATTTTTTGGTAAAGGGCAGCGCTCTACCCTAATTGCTTTACATGGGCTGACAGGGATTGTAGTATTTGAATAAATAATTTTCAGTAGGGAAAAGAAGAAATAAAGTAGCTCCTGCAGTCATCGCATCTGATCATCTCAGTGGAACATCACTACCCTAATATCTGCAATGTTCTGCCCCAGGAAGTCTCTCTCAGTCTCTTCTGAGCCTCACATTCGTGATGCTACCCAAGTTTTTCTTTTCAAAGAGCTGTTGGAGGGTGGCTTCAGCAGCCTGAACTTGTGTATATTTCTGTATTTCTCAATCTTTCTCTTGCATTATCAGGGTTTCACCTTGGGGGAAAAAAATGAAAAATAATTTAAAAAAAGATTCCCAAGGTCCTTCCTTGAATATTGGCATGTTTTTGCTTGTTTGTTTGTTTGTTTTCCTAAGGAACATAAATCATGCTTTTTCCTTTTTTATTTTTCCTATTAATTTGCAGTTGCTAAGCATTAAAACCCATGCCATCCTATTCTTTCGATTTTGTTTTAGAACTCAGGAGACCCAAGTTGTAACTAAGTGATGAGCAACATCTTTCCATCAGCAGCCTCATTATGTTTAATAGAGAAAGAAAAACCATGAATTAGTAGCACCTTCTCAATGTCTTCCCACATTCACCTGCTTTTAAACTGGGGTTTTCTACTGTAGGAATGAGGAGGTTGATAACACCAAATGCTGCCATGGTTGATGAAATATTCTTCCAAACTAAAAAGAACATATTTTTATATATAAATTTTTTCCTCAATGCAGTCTTAAGCAAGTCTGAGAAAGATATTTGGAATTATTTGTCTACCCAGGACAAAGCATATTGCACTGGGCATATATAATTCCTGACAGGTGAGGTTTAGTCCCATTTGCCAATAATTGTTTTCAGTAAGTAAGCAGACAAGTGTGACAGAAAGGAGCTGATCAGTACCATCTTGGAAGAAAAACTTTCAACCTGTATCAGTGCTCAGAGTCTCCACTACACTTGGGGCTCTTAGTGAGAGGTCAGTCCAGCTGTGGACATTCCTGAAAAATATATTTTTGGCAACATTTCCCAAGTCCCTCATTTTCTGTCCTCCATGAATTTACTGGGGGTAAATTACCCCATCATCATTAACGAAGACGTTACAGAGGACCAGATCGAGTATTCACCCCCTAGCTTAGTCCACTCACTACTGGCCTCTCCCCACAGGAAGAATTGAAGTTGCAAACCATTGCTAAGGCTGCTTGTGCAGCCCTGGTCTAGCTGCCTAAAAGGGCAGTTTTACAAGACCAACTTTAGCAACATGACTGTACACTGTGTTATCCTCAGGAGTCCAAGAGTTAACTGGTATATCTTTAAGGGTTGTTATTAAAATGGCAAGCCACAGTAGTGGAGCAATCTGGAAAGCTTACGGGACAAGTGTTCTAAGAGCAATATTTCCATATAACTGTCACTGCTGGAAGTTAATGATATCTGCGCTCTGAAAACAATTAACAAATAATTTTACTGCTGTTTACTATGCAAAACTTACTTCACATTCTACCCTCTCCCCCCTGTTGTGACCATTTGCTGCATGAAGGCCCTGTGAGATGAAAAAAGGACTTAAAAACAGAGAACAGTGATTTAAACTTGGCACTGGGAGAGCTCTGAAGCATGCAGGAGTGATAGTGTGTTGAAACAGGTCATCTACAGGGTTGTACGAGGTACACTGCATGGGAGCTGGAGGTCAAGCAGACACAGGGCTGAGGGAGAGCTGATCCTGCCTTCGGCAGGCTTTTTTATCAGGTGGGTATGTGTTAGTCAATTAGCTTGCATGGGTCAAATAACTGTAGCATACATCAGAAAAATCCTACAGAGCATCTTCTGTGGCAGCAAGTTTACATGCAGTGCCAGTGGACTTTAATACCCCTGATGAGCCCCACCTGCGCCCCTCCCAGTGCTGAAGTTTGAGGGTGGGCAGCAATCCCTTTAAAGGGCCTGTGACTCTTTCATGATATTGACTCTATAATACAGAATCATGGCATGGCTTGGGTTGAAAGAGACTTCGGAGATCATCTATTTCCAATGCCCTTGCCATGGGCTGGCATTGGAACTAGAAAACTGTACGCAGTACTGCAGAAGGTACCTTATGAGGGCAGAGTAGAGATGGACAATCACTTCCCTTACCCTTCTATATCCTTCTATTGATGCAGCCAGGAAATACTGGCCTTCCAGGCTGAAAGAGCATGCTGCTGGCTCATATACAAGTTAGAATCATAGAATCACAGAATCACGAGGTTGGAAATGATCTCTAAGATCATCTAGTCCAATCATCTCCTCATCACCTTTGCCACCACAAGCACTAAACCATATCATGCAGCACATCATCCAGACACCTCTTGAACATTGCCAGGGACGGCGACTCTACCACCTCCCTGGGCAGCCATTCCAGTGCCTGACCACTCTCTGAGAGAAATAGTTCTTCCTTGTGTTCCTAAACCTCCTCTGATACAACTTGCGGCCATTGCCCCGTGTCCTGCTCGTTGCCTGGGAGAAGAGGCCAAATCCCTCTACATCACAACCTCCTTCAGTAAGTTGTAGAGTGCATTGAGTTAGGGTGGATTTGTCACCATATGTGTGCCTGGTGATTATGAGTCTGTGTCTGACTGACACCAGTGAACTTGGTCCTGACCTCAAGTTTGTCTCATCTGCACTGAGTTGTCTTCCAGCCTGGGCCCTTTGCTGCCACCATGGGCCTGACCTGCTTACCTTGCCTGGCAGTATGGGCTGGGACTCTGCCCTGCAAGGCCCCCACTTTGCCGGTATTGCACTTGCTCCCTGGTCCATTGCAAGCAACTGGCCCTTACTGCTCCAGAATGTGCAATGGAAAGCTGCACCATTCTTGTGTGAATATTTGGTCTTGCTCTTTCAGGAGAGATGTGTTGTTTCGGGCTGTGCACTGCACATTTTGCAATAAATGATAGTTACTATACATTGGGGTTATGTCTACAGGTTAGACATTACTGGAATAGTGGAGAACTGAATTCCACAATGGCCTTAAGCTTTCTTTAGGTCAGAGAATATGTTATATTTTCAAAAGAGGCTATGCTGAATGGCCCACATTCATTCCAGAGTAGCAGGTCTGCCAGCCAGCCAGGCTAGTGCTCTTGCAGCCTGAGGTGAGAGCTGAGCTTTAACATTAACTAGGGAAGAAAAGCCCAAGCCTGACTCAGCCACCCACATCCTGCTCCCTCCTTGTGGTGAGCACAGCCTGGTGACAGTGAGAGAACACCAGCCTGCCTGCTGCTCACAGCCTGCTGTCACAGTGATGGAGTCCAGCAACGTCCAGGGGAAAAAAGTTGCCATTGTTGGAGGGGGCCTGGTAGGAAATGCAGCTTGTCTACTGTTTGATTGCTGGGAAGTGAGGGAGTGACTGCTCAGCAAAGTTGAGCTTGAATGTGAAGGTCTCTGGAAAGGCAGCTCTACTGCAAGAAGGCTTCTTTGAGCACTGCAGACATAGCCAGGTCTTGCTTCTTAGCTGTGGGCAAGAAAAAATGCAGCCGAATCGCTTGCCTGCACTGCCTTTCCCTTTGTACAATGCTTGCTTGTTTGTAGCTCATTAAATGATTTGGTCTGCAGATTAACAAAATAGTGCCTTCTCTCCTGAGTTCAATGCTCCTTTTAACCCTATTTTTCTTAAAATTATTCTTCTGCCAGATGGCAGATGTTATCATCTGTTGTGCTTTCATTGTAAGAGGCAGCAGGTCTTGTTTGCACAGCTGGGACTTTGTACCAAGAGAAGGGGTCTTCTCTGAGGGCAAGCTTTGCTGCTGAGGTACTGCAGATACCTAAAGGTCCACAAAATACACCCCTTGTTCAGGCATTGCATGTGTGCCATGACAGAAAAACAGTGCACTTCTGGATACTTCTCTTTTCTTTCCTGTGAATGAGTGGAAGTTTTTGAGGGGAAAAACACTCAAGCTGGATTCTGTCCTCTCAGGGCACTTTAGGCAAGACCAGCCACTGGATCTTTCATTGCTTTAGCTGTTTCTGGCTTTAATCAAATCACTACTGTTGAAATACGTTATGAGGACTGAGACTTGGTAAAAGTTAACATAAGAGAAAATGCCTTCCTTTTTCCATGTTCATTTGAGAGAACTTTTCTTCCATTGCTGCCTGCAGGGCTGTCTGTCTTTAAATGACGACTCTTGAAACTCCCACCTAACATTTTGGCTGTTAACTTCTTACTCCCCTGGCTGCTGGAAAAAGAGGAAGACTAAGAGTGTGTGGTTCTGCTAATTTTGACAGCAGTTAATGATAGAAATTTAAAACAAAAGAAGGTACACATTTAAGTGAAAACTGGGGTATGTGCTGTCCTTCTTAAGGTAGCATCTTACTTCTACACAGGTTCAGCTTCCTCCTCCCTCCCCCACTTTTTCCTGAGGAATGCTGCAGCAGTCTGAATTTCACTGAGGAAGATAAATGCAGAATTGCTGAACCACTGAGGTTGGAAAAGACCTTCAAGACCATTTTCGGTCATCTCTGAGAGGTCTTGGAGGACAGGGGAGGTGCCTGAAGACTGGAGGATAGCCAATGTCACTTCGGTCTTCAAAAAGGGCAAGAAGGAAGATCCAGGCAATTATAGGCCAGTCAGCCTCACCTCTGTCCCTGGAAAGGTGATGGAACAGCTTGTGCTGGATGTCATCTCCAGACAACTCAAAGAAAAGGAGGTTATCAGGAGTAGTCAGCATGGGTTCACCAGGGGGAGGTCATGCTTGACCAACCTGGTAGCCTTCTATGATGTTGTCTCTGGCTGGGTGGATGGGGGGAGAGCAGTGGATGTAGTCTACCTTGATTTCAGCAAGGCTTTTGATGCTGTCCCCCACCACATCCTTATAACAAAGCTGAAGAAGTGTGGGATAGATGAGTGGACAGTGAGGAGTGAGGTGGGTTGAGAACTGGCTGACTGGCAGAGCACAGAGGGTCGTCATTGGCGGTGCAGAGTCTGGCTGGAGGCCTGTAACCAGCGGTGTTCCTCAGGGGTCGGTGCTGGGTCCGGTCTTGTTCAACATCTTCATCAATGACCTTGATGAGGGGATAGTGGCCACCCTCAGCAAGTTTGCTGATGATATGAAGTTGGGAGGATTGGCTGACACGCCTGAAGGCCGTGCTGCCATTCAGTGAGACCTGGACAGGCTGGAGAGCTGGGCAGAAAAAAACCGGATGAGGTTTAACAAAAGCAAGTGTAGAGTCTTGCAGCTGGGGAGGAATAATTGCATGCACCAGTACAGGTTGGGGGATGAGCTGCTGGAGAGGAGCTCTGCAGAGAGGGACCTGGGTGTCCTGGTGGATGACAGGTTGCCATGAGCCAGCAGTGTGCCCTTGTGGCCAAGAGGGCCAATGGCATCCTGGGGTGCATTAAAAAGAGCGTGGCCAGCAGGTCGAGGGAGGTGAT